TAACACAACAAAAAGGCAAAAACTATTGGGATACCCTGGTGCTCTGGGGAATGGCGACCAAATTGAAAACGAGGCTGCCTGCCAAAGCCCCTATGGCGCAGAACTGGTGATAGTGACATACCTACGGTCATCCACCCGATCGGTAAAAATTTACCGGCATGATAAATGATAAATGGGTGAATGTTAGTTAAACTGCTTGGGATATTATTAGGGGCTGGTGAGCGTTGCAGTCATAATCTAGGACTATTTTTTCTGGGATCGTTTGTATAGTTCTCCACTTAAGAAATGCCTTTCGGTCACGATATGCCCAGTTAGGATGTATGTTATTCTTTTCTGAATCTGCAGAGCAGGTGGAGACCACACCGCTCGCGTTGCTGCTACTATCTTTCTACATTGAGTTTGCCTTTGATAGGTCTAATGGCCATCAGTAACATATCGTTTGATTTCATTTCATTATAAATATAATTCATATTTAGTTTAGACGTACATGGCATGGTGGCATTGCATGCGTGTGCAGTTTTGCGTGTTCTCCCCGTGTCATTGCGGGATGGACCTGAAATAATTTTATATCCATGGTAATCAATGGCTTAGATCAGGGTTCTTCAAATCTGGACCTCGATTACAAATCCAGGCCTTGTTTTCAGTTCTCCCAGGTAGTTTAACAATTGCTGACTCTGATTGGTCAGAGGCTTCACACCTGACTGACAGGTAAAGGAAGGCTGGAAAACCAGCAGTGCTCGGACCTCAAGGACCGTGACTTGAATAACCCTGGCCTAGATGATGGTACGTAGCCTATTAAAGCTTACTTAACTTCTTCCCTCGTCTGCCCCCTTGCTGTAAAGGACTGCTATAACTTCAGCATGTGTAACTGAAAGGTACCGTCAACACTAGCAGTACATGCCGATACTCAGCCTGGTGTCTGTGTTTCTTGAAGTGGTGGAAATAAGTGTCATTTAAAAAACTGAAACATTGTCTAATGATTTGACTTGCACATAAGAACATAAGAAACTTTCAAGCTCGTTTGGGGAGAACTTAACTAATAGCTCAGTTATTCAAGTCTTATCTAGCTCTGATTTAAAGGAACCCAGGGTTTTAGCTTCCACTACACTAGCAGGAAGACTATTCCATACTCTAACTACACGCTGTGGAAAGAAGTGCTTTCTCATATTTATTTTAAAATGTTCTCCTAATGTCCACTTATGGCCACGAGTTCTAGTATTTAAACTTATACTGAAGTAGCCATTTGGCTGAACAGCATCCAGACCTGTTAGAATGTTATATACCTGGATCATGTCCCCCCTTAGTTTCCTTTGCTCGAAGCTAAACAGATTCAGCTCAGCTAACCTCTCCTCATAAGACATTCCTCTAAGACCAGGAATCATTCTTGTAGCCCTACGTTGCACCTTTTCCAAGGCAGCAGTGTCCTTTATAAGGTATAGTGACCAAATCTGCACACAATATTCTAGGTGGGGTCTTACCAAGGAATTGTATAATCGTAGCATCACCTCCCTTGACTTAAACTTCACACACCTAGAGGTGTAACCCAACATCCTATTAGCTTTTTTAATTGCTTCCCCACACTGGCGAGAATGTGACATGGAAACATCAACATACACACTGAGCACTTGCTGAGGCTGAGAGGAAACAGTGGCGTGATGTCCTACATTGATTGGTGGCAATAATTCAGTCTTTAGCTGAAAGTAACATGGCTTTTAGGGAGTCCACAAGACACATTAAATAAACCGGACAATGGAAATTTTCTAAACGAGGTGGAGCTTATGGCACAAATTTGATCCAGTGATGAAGCAGCATGTCAGTAGAGTAGAAAGTGGAGCTGACAGTCACATCAGTTATCTTGGCAAAATAATCCAAAATGAACTGATAGACTCCATCAGTTCTAAAATAATAGAACACATTGTGAAAGACATCAAAATATCCAAATATTTCTCCATAATTTTAGACTGCACCCCTGATCTGAGTCATAAGGAGCAGCTCTATCATAGTCAGGATAGTGTCACAAGACATTCCTCAAGTTAAAGAGCATTTCTTGGGCTTTCTTGTTGCAGGAGAGTAAAGCTGTAGCAGGTTATGTGTGGTTGAGGAGAACATTTGTCATCTCTAATCCTAAAAAGGCTAGAGGAACTTAATATCCCATTTGAGGACTGCAGAGGCCAGTCTTATGACAACGGCACCAACATGAAGGGAAAAAACAATGGTGTTCAGGCAAAGTTGCTTCAGCTGAACTCAAGAGCTTTTTTTGTCCCATGTGGTGCCCACACTTTAAATCTGGTTGTAGCTGATGCTGCAAAAAGCTCACCAGATGCCCTCGGCTACTTTGGGCATTTAACTAAGTTATTCAAGCTCTTCTCAGCCTCCACCCATAGGTGGGATGTCCTCCTGAAATATGTGAACATCACCTTGAAACCATGGGCTGAGACCAGTTGGGAAAGCAGAATAAAAAGCATCGAGGCAGTAAGGTATCAGGCTGGGCAAATCAGAGTAGCTCTTTTGGAGGTGAGGGAAGCAACTGCAGACCTTGTGGTAAGAGTTGAAGCCCAGTCTTTGGCTGAGGAGATTGGATCCTATCGCTTTTGCATTTGTACTGCCATACGGTATGACATTCTCAGCAAGATCTGGTATGTCAGTAAACTGATACAGTCACCCTCCATGCAGCTTGATGTGGCTGTCGACTTGCTGAAGAAAACCAGAGATTCCCTCACCAGTTACAGAAACACTGGATTTTCTGATGCACAGACAACTGCAAAGGAGATGAACGTGGAGGCTGAACTCAAACAAAAGCGGTTGAGAACCACAAAAAGGCACTTTGGCTATGACTCTCCAGATGAGCCCATGCAAGATGCACTGCGCAAAATGGAAACCACATTTTTTAATGTGGTCGTGGATACTGCCATCTCTTCTCTTGATGAAAGATTTCAGAATCTTGGAGAGGTGAATAACAAATTTGGTGTGCTCCTCAATTTCCCCTACTTAGGAGAAGACGACCTGCTACAGAAGTGTCAAACTTTAAGTACTGCTCTGACCCATGACAGCCAGCCAGACATTGATGGCACAAAACTTGCAAAGGAAATGCAGAATTTCCCACCATTGCCATCAAAGAATATGACAAACATGGAACTCTTGACCTTCCTGCATGAGAAGAAGCTGGCAGAAATTTACCCCAACATGTGAGTTGCTTTGAGAATCTCTGCCACTCTTCCTGTTACAGTGGCTGCTGCTAAAAGAAGCTTCTCTAAGCTCAAACGGATTAAAACTTACCTGAGATCTACTATGATGCAAGAACGTCTCAGTGGACTTGCAATTATAAGCATAAACCATGTGGTCTCAAATCAGTTGTCATATGATGATGTTGTAGATGACTTTGCTGCAAGAAAGACCAGGAGAGTAAAGCTGTAGCAGGTTATGTGAGGTTGAGGAGATGGTGGTGTAGTTCGTCATTCAAGTTAAGGCAGTACCAAAAACCACCACCAGAGGTCTTTGTAAGATCACCTTTTTGTTAAAATTTTTATTTAAATCCTTGTAATTTTTTGTGCCTTGTAATTTTTTGTGCATACTGGTTTCTTTAATGTCTTATTTTGTGCAATGCCTTATTTATATTGTATTTATAATTTAAGTTATGTCACTTTTTATTTTTGGAATATTTAAATTTAATACTTTATGTAAGCTATTTATATTGTATTTCATATATTCAGTTCATTTTTTTTGTATTTTTTTCTAAGTATTTTGAATGTACAATTGGTTTATTTAAATAAAAGAATGTCTTAGACGAAGCTATTCGGTTTCTTGTGAGTATATGTACACTAGCAGTGGAATTTAATGTGATGCAAGGGGGCGCCACCTAAAATCTTGTCTAGGGCTCCAAATTTGTTAGGGCTGGGCCTGGATTAAGATCTGGGGAGCTTCCTGGCCATGAACCCAAAATGTCGATGTTTTGTTCCACGCGCCACTTAGTTATCACTTTTGCCTTATGGCACGGTGCTCCATCATGCTGGAAGAGGCATTGTGCGTCTCCAAACTGTTCTTGGATGGTTGGGAGAAGTTACTCTCGGAGGATGATTTGGTACCATTCTTTACTCATGGCTGTGTTCTTAGGCAACATTGTGAGTGAGAAGCAACCCCACACATGAATGGTCTCAGGATGCTTTACTGTTGGCATGACACAGGACTGATGGTAACGCTCACCTTTTCTCTGGACAATCTTTTTTTCTGGATGATCCAAACAATTGGAAAGGGGATTTATCAGAGAAAATGACTTTACCCCAGTCCTCAGTAGTCCAATTCCTGTACCTTTTGCAGAATTTTCAGTTTTCAAACCACCCCCCAGCCATTCCATGTATCTGTTAAATTTCACCACCAGCTCACTTAATAAACTCAGTTCATTAGCCATGTATGGTATTATGGTATGTTAGTGGCTGAGTCAAAAAATACACGAGCATATTGATCACTGCAAATCCTGTGGTGACATTAGAAGAGGTTTAACAGATATATCATAGCTTTACACCGACATGAAGGTGATTTAAACATAATTTAATAGTCTAAGACTTTTGCACAGTAATTTATTTCTCTGTGTGGTTCTACGTGGTCAACTGCACTTCTAAATATGCATGAAATTTTAACTATGGCCGTGTCTAGTGATGACCAAAACAAGTCACCATGAGACTATTCATTGATATTAAATTTAGTCAATTACTGACTTATGTAACACTCCATTTCTTTGGAAACACTTTTTCAAAACATTTGTATGTCACACCAACTATGGCCCTCGATAGCTTAAGTAAACCACATCCCCCAGTAACTATGTCGTGTTACTGCCCTCTGGTGGCCATCTGACATTGCACTTCTGCTATCTCGCAGTTGTAGGTATACAACGCTGTGTTCTTGTGGCTGTGGTCCACAGTGAGAGGCTGATCCTAAGCATTCTCTTCCCATAGCATTCTCTGTACCTCAGTGCAGTTGCAGCACTTCATGTTACTGTGTACTGTGTTTCTGAGAAACGTAGCTAGCGATGGGACTAAATGGCAGCCCTCTCGACAGGGCTGTGGGAGTCCAGACATGTCACAGAGCTGCTGTGGCAACCATTGCATAGCAATGAACAAATTTGTGTGCGAAACATTAGCAGCCATTTAACAGCTTACTGTCATGAAAATATCCACAACACAGACTTCCCTCATTTCCCAGCTCTCTGTCTTTTGATATCATATTCACTACATACTTACAATTCAATATGATTGTTTAATTTTTATGTGTCTTTTTACCTTATGTTTAGCTCTGCACTTATTGTTAATAACATAATCTTATTCAAATCTCTTATTCCATTGGCTGCATTAATTTTCATACACTTCATGCATGAGTAAGATATCTACCTTAAAATTATGCAGGGCTCTCTGATTCTTCCTATACACATTTCTTAAGTCATTAAAGAAGAATTCCACAGAACTTTAGAAATGTTGGTTGATTTTAAACCACCTTGCAATGAACAATGAAACCATGTTGGAAAGAGACAATGACATTTTGTTAAATTTGTTTTATAATTTCAGTAGAGACACGTGAGCTTGCGATCACTATAAATAAGTTCTAAGCAATGACACGATCTGACACTGTAGGAAGATAAAGACGCCGAAGAGCAGTGTTCCAGTCATGCCTTAGCTGCTGGAGGCTGTGCGGCTTCTGCTCAGCCTCAGATAAAAGACTGGGCGATATCAGTTATGAATGCAATAACCTCGGCATTTATGCAGGAGCCGGTGTCCTGGAGGGTGGATGGCTCTGATAAGCTTCCTGCCACTGTTCTTGCAGAGTGCCAGTTCCTCTTTTTGTCCTTGTCTTATGGGCCCCAGCCTCCTTCCTGTTGGCTATAAAGTGAGGGTCATAATCTGCGGCCAATGTGAGGCTAGAATTAAAAAAAAAATGCACAAAAATCAGACCAGTATGAATTGCGTTTTTATATATTTTTTATTTTTTTATTCTGTATTTAGTGGATAATTAAGAACATTTCACCCATCACAAAGAAATAGTCCTCAAAAAAAAAGACAACAGATGTCTGTAATGCATGAACAGCATGACTTAAGTACTGCCTCTCCCCAATTCATGATGGGGTTATGTTCCGATAATCCTATCGAAAGGCGAGAATATCATAAGTTAATAAAGTACACTTAACCTAACAAACATCACAGCCTAGCCTGGCCTAGTCGACCTTAAAAGCAGGCTTAGAACACTTACATTAGCCTACAACTGGGCAAAATCATCAACACAAAGTAAATTTCATAATGAAAAGTTGAATATCTCATGTAAATTATTAAATAATGTAAAGAGTGAAAAACATTTACCCACTGTAAAGTCACAATATCATAACACGGACCAACCTGGGGACCGTCTGTTTTTATAATTTCACTTTTCCTTGCTACCAAGTACATGGAATCCACCTGGGTTACGGCCAAGTACACAAATCCACACGCATTATTAAGTGCTCGCAGTGATTGCAGGCAGAATATTAATACAAAGCATTTGGTGATTAAGTGAGAGCCCTTGCTGTTCGTGTGCACACTCCCACACTAGAGGGAGCTAAGTATTCACACAATGCAGTGCTGCAGCCCTCGAGAGACCCTGTCTGACTGAGCAGCAAGCTCTTGGATGATGGGTTACAAGTACGCCAGGTCTTTGATTAGTTTCCAAGGGCATTACATAAATAAAGTAAACAAATGTAATGTAATGATAAGACTGGTGGTACCTAAAATAATTAAAAAGCAATTATCATTTTCAAAATGTCGGCATCTGAGCCAAATATCAAGCTTCATATCTCATAACAGCAGCTAAGCTTTTGCTCCGAATTGTTTTTGAGGTCTGCTGGTCTCATTAAGGCATGACTGAGTGCAGCAAGCTGCTTGTATTTCTAACATTTACCAGATTTATGACAAATTGATCCAGAGCAACACACATAACATTAAAATGTAAGTATCAAACATGCAAAATGCATTGGTATTTGGTACAATGTCATTGGTACACATGCCGTGTAGACAATAATGGCTTTAAACAAACATTAAATATCCAACTATTGAGCTAAGGGTGACAGCCAGTGCGAATTCTAAGTGTCTGAGTGATTTATTGATAAAAAACTGATTGTAATCTAAACCAAATTTGACCTAAGGGTTGAGGAATACATGAGTCAGAATTCCTTTGAATTATAACAGGTTCCAGGTACATCAATATCTGCCTTTGGGTTAATCTTTTACAGGGGCAGTATAGGTGAAGTACTGTAGCCTACATTTCTGGACACTCCTGCTTTTATCTGTTTTCTGAGACCATCGTATAAGGACAAGAGAACCTAATGGACCGTCGTCTTCATCGGCCACCTAGATGTTTGTGAGTATGATGTGGAGATCATGCGTCTTGCATACAATCCTCCATATCACAGGCACAGTTTACTGGGCCAGCTCTCTGCTCACCTTGCTAAAGAGGTGTCCACGTATTCGGGAGAGACGCCCAGTGTAGCTATAAGGAAGGAGGCGGTGCTTGGGCTAATTGGACAGGTGCAAACCATTGAGATCAAATGCATGGCCACAGGGAGGAATGCAAACAACAGGGGAGCCTACCCCACATAAGAGGGATGGAAGGAGAGCATGCTGGGAGGAAAAATGCAATTTGGACCCTGGCTAGAAGAGTAGCTCAGACGTGAACCTTCCGGAGATTACTGTGAGTTCCCTCAAATTCTTATGGCTTTTTTTGTAGCTAGGAAGCTAAATATATAATCCTTTTGAAGGTGCCCTTAGGTTACAATGGTGTTAAATTCCAGACACGAGACGGCAACAGTCTTGTTATTTGGGCAGGGTCACTAATGCACGATAACAGCAGCCCGCTTTGTGCCAGTACAATGCTGGGCTGGCATCGCAGTGGGCCGTGCTCCGTCGGCAGGCCCGCTGCCCACTTGCGACGCAGCCTGACCCCGCGAGCCTCAGACATCTCACATTCCTCACCCGCTTTCAAGCAGTGCAATAACTTCCTGGAATTCTTGGTGTCCCGGTGGTGGAGCCAAGGCACTTCCTGTTGTCCTTGAGTTCTTCCGGTGTTAGTAGCAGTCAAATTGCCGTTGCTGCCGTAGCCACTGGAGGACCCCAGTACACATCTCTCAGGCATCTACCCCTGGCAGCACTGACTTGATGCCTCTCAACCCACATCCCCAGACCTGTACTTCTCATGGTCATCATGTTCCATCGCCTGTAGACAGACACCTTTTTTTCTAAATGCTGATTGGACAAAGAAGGGATTCGTCATTCCTCACCACTCCTGGGTGGCTTTTTTTCCAGGAAATAGCAACTAATGAATGAATGTGTATTCCTCTGGGACTCAGTAGCCTCCTGATAATTTCCTATTGTTTAACAGTAAGATTTTTTAACATTGTTTTTCCAGTTACATAACAAGATAAACAGAGTGGATTAGAGCAGTGTAATGGAATGTTTTCAATACTGAAGACCTGGCAATTGACATGTTTTCCAGAAATTACTGCACTAGTTAAATGTATTTCGCTGAAATGAAATAATAATAGTGGGTAGCATTTTGCATTACCTGCACCTTAATAATGCCTTTGTA